GTCATTAATCAACCCCTATGCTTTTAAGCCACTAATATTTAGAGATAAATAAGGGAACCGCAGCAGATAAAATAAACACATATAGGTAAACACTAATAAGGAAAAATGCAAATAATTTTGGAGGCACCATTTTCTTAATTAAGGTTAATATCAATGATTTTTCATATATATTAAAGAATTACTCAAGCACTCAACTCTGTTTTCATGATGTGGCTACTGACGTCTAAGTGTAGTGCTAATAGTACCTTTCTAACTGTTCAATCCAAAATGCAGACATTTTTTATTTGTTCTCAAAGTCATTACCCCTGGGTTAATTGCATACTTTTCTATAATCAGAAATACTTTTGAATTCTATACAGTCTTGTGTTGAGCTTTTCCTTTTACTTCATCTCAGATCCTTCTTACTTATTTCTTAAACTTTTCCTCTCAAAAGATACTTTTCCATACCTTATAAACTACATCGAGTTTCAACTTAAGTACATAAAATCTTATGCCTTTAGTTGCCTTTAGGTGACACTGATTATTTATGGTTTTTGTCTCATTTAGAAAAATAATTTAAAGTAGCTTATATATTTCTGGATAAAGAGAGAATGCAGGCAATAAAAGGCGTAAATGTAGGTTTTGCCAGTTACCCCAAATTTGGTGGATCATATGGTACAATGCCATTTTATAATATTTAGCAAATTTGGAATAATTAAAGAAAAAAAGATACTAAATAATTCAGAAAATTATAATTCTGGTAAAAAATTATTATTCTTATAAAAAATTAAAGAAAAAATATTCTGATGCTTTTTAAACAGCAAGGAAGACTTCATTCGAGACTGCTGTGATGGGTATCAAAATTAAGGCAAAAGGGGAGAGAAACTGGCTCAACTCTGAAAACAGTAAAGACAACTGGAGATTTTTAGCCAAGGAGCAGGTTGAGGGTAACAAAATAGTAACTAAGAAGAGACAGCGAGCATAGTGGGAATTCTTGCTAGTGACTTAACAGGATTCTTGCTGAAACTCAGGCCAGGGTAATCAGATATCAAGGGTGGGAGATGAGAAATTTGATTAGATATTGAGAGTGATCAGATATCTGGGGTGGGAGGATTCTCTCTAAACTGACTTAGCAGGATTAGACACTGAAGCCCAAGATCAAGGCCTGGTTGAGAAGAGGGCTCAAAGGAGAACGACTAAAGTTTGTTCAAGGAGAATCTTTGTCAGTTTTCTAATGACTAGGGCAGGGGAAGAGCATGTGGGCATACAGAGTTTGCATTGTCCAAAACAGGATAGAACACCTGTCATGCTCTATGTGAATAGAATTGAACTATGGTCTGATTTTATCATTGAAGTTTCAGTTTTTTTAATGAAAGCACACTAGGAGGCAGTATGTAGACAAGGTGGCATTTAAACAGAGGTGGTGAGAGAATGAGCCATGGGAATATCTTGGAGCCCAGCAAGCACAACTGCCCCATGGCATGCTTGGTATACTGTAGAAACAAGAGAGAACCCAGTGTGAGTGGTGTGAGGTGGTTAAGGATAGAGAAATAGGACTTGAGGGAAGAGGTATAGTGGAGACCAAGTCATTTCAAACCTTAGAGGCCATTGTGAGGTCTTTGGCTTCAACTCTGAATAAGATGTGACACCATTGGAGGATTCTGAATAGAGAAATGTCTGACTTAACATCTAAAGAGATCAATCTGACTGCTGTGATGAGACAGATTGCAGGAAGGCAAGGATAGCAGCAGGGAGATCAAATGGGCAGTTTCCACAGTAGCCCAAGGGAGGCATGATGGTGGCCTGTTTCTGCACAACAGCTGTGAAAATGGTAAATAGTGGTCATATTCTGAGTATGTTTTGAAGGTGTAGGTGAAGAGTTTGCTGATGGATAAGCCTGATCAGCTAGAAAAATGAGATTTTTTTTTTTTTTTGAGATGGGGAAGATTACAGCAAAAATATGTTGTTTGAGTCAAGAAGAGCACCTTTGTTTTTGACATTTTTAACTCACGATGTTTATTATACTTCCGAATGGAGGAGTCAGATAGGGCCTGAGGATAGGTAGTATTCTGAACCATTGGGTCTGACCACGTAGGAAATGAGTGTATGTAGATAGATCCAATGACTGAGATTAGCAGTGATCATTGATTTTCTCTGTGTTGTCCTTCTTTGTCTGTACTGGTCATTCAAGATTGGCTTAAAAACCGTATTTTAGGGAGCTATCACCTAAAATGTGATCTTTTGTGCCATTATGCAAATAACCGCATGATGCTTTCTGAATTGTGTTGTAGTTATCTGTTAACCAATTATTCCCTCCATTTCACTGTAATTTCCTTGAGGAAAAGCCTATAGCACATAAATGATTCTTGGATAAAAAAAATTAAAAATTCTTTGCACTTGAGAATAAATCTAAGTGATATTTGTCCCTGTCCACCTCACTCACATCATCACATGCAACTCTCCACTGGTTCACTGCACCCCAGCCACATTTATGAATTGTTGAAAGGCACATCACTTTCTTAACTCAAGCCTCATGGCTTTTTTCTATGCTGTTTTTCTTCACGAAATGCCTTTTTCCCTTCATTCTTTGATCTGCTAATTCATTGTAATTCATCAACTCCCAGTTTAAGTGCTAAGTCCTAAGAGAGTAATTCTTGAACCTTCATTCTAATCCATCTCTAGTTTGTCCTTTCCAAAAATCCAAATTTTTGAATTAATGCCATTCACCACAGTTTGTGGATTTATATCTATTTGTATGCTTATTTGTTTACTATCTATTAAAGATCTATGAGAACAAAAGACCATGTCTGTTTTATTCATTGATACGTACCCAGCCCTTACCACTGTACCAGACACTTAATAACCCCTTTAAAAAATTCTTAGAATAAGTGAAAGTAAAAAGCTCCACATATTTGTACTGTTATCAATGAATATGGGTAATATAATCAAACTACTTGTGATTTTGATTACACAAAATTATAACACATCTTGATAAAAATATTTTAATTGGTTTTCCCTTACATTTGGGAAAATATGAGCTTATGGAATAAGAATTAGTCTCCCACTTTCCCAGCAGCACCTGGTTTTTATACATATGTAAACATTTTGGTTTTGTACATAAAAAATGTATTTTCCAGATCTGTATCAGCCCTAGGGAATGTTCCATTTCCCCCTTCACTATTTTAGCATGTGATGTTGAAGAACATATCCAAAATGTATATGCACTTCTGAGAAACCAAAGCAGTAGGAACAACTATTTTTCAAACTCAATCTTATCAAAAATAGAAGTTTTTGAAACTTTAATAAATTATGGGTTTAGAGAATAGTTTCTTAATCATTTAGTTATTTTGTCTTATAACTCTTCCTTTGTTAAGATAACAAGTTCAATATAATAACTCATTAAAATTATTTGAAGATTTTCAAACCAACAATGGTTTGGCATATATTATTTATACTAGCCAAATTTTAATACTTTTTGTTATTATAAAACATATCTGCATATATTTATAAAATTAAATACTAATGTTGTTTCCAAATTTATACAAAAAAGCTATAGCTATTAAAACCTAGAAAATACTAAGAATTTCTCTTTCATAAGTAGTAAAGACTATTTATAAAATTAAATATTATTAAGTTGTCGTTTTAGTCAATTATTTGAGCATGCAAATAGGGTAAAACTGTCAAATGAATCAATTTAAATATACTTTATCTCCCCTCTGCAATTGCTAAAGTCTTTTCTTTGTATGGAAAAATTAGTTAATTATATAATTAGAAGTAGTGGCCATTTGGAAGCAGGAAGAAGGGATCAGACCCCTTATTCCTCTAAGATTTTCTCTCAAGGACATTTCTATAGAGAAGTGACAACATGAAATTCTCCAACCCATTTTTTTCTACCGCTTTTTATACTAGTAATTACTCGATTTCATTTTGAGAGGCTGTTTAAAATGGCTTAGAATATAGAAAAAAGTTTTTCATCACTATACACTTCTGAGTTACTAGTAGAAGAATTAGCTGAAAAATATAACATTGCACTTTCTATTATTTCAAAATGGCTTTCAAAAAATGTTTGGATTAGTAAAATATATTCAACAAATTATTAATCTACCAATTATTTCTATAATATTTAATATTTTTAATCATTAGTATACTTAGAATGATATACATTTAAAATATACCTCTCATTTGAATTCTGACACTGTAAATATGATTTGAAGGTTTCCAAAGCATAGGAAAAAGAAGGAAAAGAAGAGGAAACTTTTTGTAATGCAGTCACATTAAAAAGGGTGAAAATTCTGTGTATTCTATTTAGCCCATATTATGAAATGTAAATAAAACAATGTGTTCATTAATAAAATGTATTTGCCTTCCAACAAACATTCATTTCATTTATGATCATTTGGAAAGCTTCTGAAATTAAGTCTAGGGAAAGGAAATCTCAATATAAACGTTAGGAGAGATATCTAGATGAACCATACAAAAGAAAGTACATTTTCTAGCAATAGAAATTGAGAGTGTTTTGTACAGTTTTCTAATTTCCTTTCAATTTTTCTCTTCCAGTCTAAATTTTTAAAAGGTGGACAGATTATCACTAACACTTCTCTAAGAAACAATATATAATTTAGTGAGCAAAAGTTTTCATTTTCAAATATTTTTAAAGCTTTCCAAACCAAAATTTATTTTAAAGTGTATATTAATCCTATTACCAGCAGCAGGTGATACTCATCAATATTTAGGTGTGATGGTAACATCTGAATAAGTTTCTTGAACAGGTTGCTTAGCACAATCTGGCAAGTTGTGCTAACTACCATTTGTACCTACAATTTTCAGCGATATTGTAATGATCAACCGCGGATTTATTTGCCTAAGTCTGTGGGAGGGTTTGTACTTTGTAATATGGATAAAAATGCCATGATTTTTTGTTTTCTATCTTATTGAAATATTTACTGTTTGTTTATTTCCTGTATATGCATCTAATTCACTATGAAAATTATTTCTTCTTTGAAATTAATATATTTTCCCAGGTTAATCTCTTGGCTTTTGTAGTTATCATATACAAAGTTTTTCGTCACACTGCAGGATTGAAACCAGAAGTTAGTTGCTATGAAAATATAAGGTAAATGTTTCTTTAAAGTCCACATTCTTTAGTAACTAAAAGCTTTTGTTACTTAAAGTACAAATAATTTTTGAAATTATTTTATTTTAAATGATTATTTTACACTTTCTTCCACATTTAAAATATGCATTGAATAACAGCGTTTAAAATGTTTAATAAGACTACAATCACCACAGATTAAATGGTGAGTGAAACAGTATTTTCAAATATACTCCCCTTTGAAAGGAAAAAGATGATAACTGTTTTAAGGTAAAAATAAGCCTTAGTGATTTTCTTCTGTAAATCATTTCTCAGAGCTTAGTATTGCTTGTTTCTTGTCACTCCTAGTTTGCATTTTCCCGTGATTTTTTTCTTCAGCCTCCTCTCTTTAAAACTGATTTATTGAGACCTTGGAAATGATTTGTTCAGGAAAAGTTGAAGTATACTTTAGGGAACATTAGAAACAACTGACTGTTTGTGTTGCTTGGGAACACTCCTGTAGTTTCAATACCTTGCACAAGATTTATAGTTGGGATTTAACAAATGTTTGATCGATTACTTTCTTTTAGTCCTCACCATTCATTAGTTTCATGTATTGTGCTGGTTTTAATAAAGTTGAAAATGACTCATTTTCTGAGGTGCACTGCTAAAACACCTGCAGAAAATGATTGGACTAAAAATGAATGAGAATAATGATAGTTGCTTCATTTTCAAGGCAATGTCCTCAGTGAACATGATTGAATATTGTTTTATCAAAAGTCATAGGTTGAAAATATGTGAATATGTGTGGGGTTTTTTTTTTAGTTTTTAAAAAATCAGTATTTTGAATGAATTTATTTGGAAGTGACTGTACTGCAAAAGCAAAAAACAAAAACAAAAACCTAATATCCCTACACTTTTATAGTTTTATATCCTACACTTTTTTCTCTACTAAACTTGAAAGGAAAACAGAGCCTTCGTTGATGTCAAGGACGTGTGCTGACCCAAGTCCACATAGTATTCTTTTCAATGTTTCCTAGGGAAAATGTTTCCTAACAGATATAAGTCTTACTTTCGGGAATTACTGCAACATTAGATTTAAAATCAAAGCATACACACTGCAGAACACCAGATAAAAATATTTTAAGATTAAAGAAACACCTTTTAAAATACCATATTTTTAAAAAATTTACCAGTATCATGGCCCTTTACCAGTTCCTCCCTTCCCCCACCCCTTCTCAAAAATACCATATTTTAATAATGCTACCTTGATTTCGGAAGCACATCCCTGTCTCAGTGCAGTAGCACACCCTAAAGGCTGTCCCATGTAACTGCAGCCCAACTTGTCAGTTTCAAAATCATTATTGGTCTTTGTGAAAGATTTCTTGGTTATACCAAAAACTCATTTTCCACATAATTTGGAGAATTTGGAGGATGAGTTGAATATACATGGCCTTCTTCACTGAAACATGACAAATATGTTATAGGTCTTGTGCGAGAGGAGCCCTTGCTCTCCTGTTCCTTCTTGGCACCACCTGGATCTTTGGGGTTCTTCATGTCGTGCACGCATCAGTGGTGACAGCTTACCTCTTCACGGTCAGCAACGCCTTCCAGGGGATGTTTATTTTCTTATTCCTGTGTGTTTTATCCAGAAAGGTAAGCATTTTTTTTTTTTTTTTTTTTTTTTTTGGTCAACCCTGTACTATACTCACGTAGCATCAGTTACCAAATTGATAGAAAATTCTTATTCTCTTTATGGCCTAAGTACAGTGTATTTTAGTATCAGAATAATTAGAACACCTTACTGCATGTAGGGAAGTACGAGGATACTTCAAAAAGTTGGTGGAAAAATAGAATTGACAGATGATACAAATCTTTCCATGAACTTTTCGAGGTACCCTTGTACTCTTTTTACAAAATCCAAGGGGCTATTAGGGATGTAAATATAGCTTGTATCCACTTGAGCACATTCTGACAGAGAATCATAAAGCAATAATACTTTAGAAAACCACATATAACTATTTATTATGATGTGAAAATAATTTGATGTGATTGTTACAATTATGTTTAACATTTCTTCCTTTCTTTTTCTTTTTTTTTAAGATCCAAGAAGAGTACTATAGATTGTTCAAAAATGTCCCTTGTTGTTTTGGATGTTTAAGGTAAACTTAGTAACTATGGATAATTATAGCTGCGGAAAAATTAAACATACAAGTTGTGGATGACTAATGTATAAAAATGACTTGATCAAATTATCCAGTTATTAATTGCTAGATACTAAAATATTTTAAACCAGTTTTATTGTTTACAGTATAGGAACTGCAGATAATGAGGAAAAATTATCTATTGGATAGCCATAGTATGCTTTTCTACGTGATACAGTTAGCGATGTCAAAAATAGTATTGTAGATATTTGTAAAGTAATTGGTTTCTCAGGAGTGACATCACTGTGCCCAAGGAAAGATTTTCTTTCTAACACAAGAAATACAAAAAATATATGAATGTCCTGAAGCAAACCACTGGCTTGATATTTTTGTGATTCATTTTGCCTTTTGAAACTAGTCCCCTACCACCTTGGTAATGAGCTCTGTTAGGGGAAGTGGAACACAAGAGAATAAAGGGGCAGAATACAAAGCAGTAAAAAAGAATGGCTGTTATAACAATGAGATGTATTTTGAATAAATTTGTTTTTCTGTGAACAAGATAAATTGTTGAGATAAATAAAGAATTGAATAAACACATCTTAGTATTTTGTGAATTGTTCCAACTTAAATATTTACAAAAACAACTCATATCTATTTACTATATCAATTTCTTTCATAATAGTCTAGAAAAAAATGCACAAATTTTTAAAAATCTGTTTTTAACTTAAGATTGAGCTATATTCTGTTTCTCTACTTATTTTACAGATTGTGAATTCAGATGCTTAATCAGAAAAATATTAATGTGTCAAAATATTGTTTGTCTGTAAATGTAAAAATAGTGTATATAAAGCTCAAGTATTCTATTCTATAACCTTTCAGTATAATGCAAAATATCCTATCTCATTAGACTAGTATATTCAAATTCTTTATTATTCTTAAATTTAGAAATATTGTAGTTCATACTGCAATGCTACCTTTTAATTTACTATTTTTTAAAGGGCACTGTAAATATGAAAGTAGTCATAAAGTGAATTGTTATTTTTTGTTGTTGTTCAGAAAAGTACACATTTAAAAATGTTATTTATAACAAAGAAATCACTGTAGAAGTTTTTGCAGTGGATCTATTTTCTGACAGTTTTTTTACCATCTATTAAAGCATATCTGCTTAAATGTATGTCTTCTATCTATCCTCAAATCTTCTCATTAAAATGTAGAAGTGGTAGTTTTATTTCAAAAATGTGTAATTGTTCCTCACCTACCTGTAAAGTGTGCCAACATACTCAGTGCTGCAATTTTAAATTAATTTCTCCAGCTGTTAAAATGAAGTCGGTCAAATCTTGCTCTAACAAATAAAATGTTATCTAAATGAAGCCATCTTGCTGCTGCTTTTCTGAGTCGTTTTCTCAAGAAAAATGAGCTACCTGCCAACTGGTCTTTTACATTTTTGGCAGACCCATGATAATAACTTTTCATTACATCTTCTAATTTCTTACATGGTAAGTCTGTAACCTGTTATCATTGTCATTACAGGATAGTGTTAGAGAAACGTGATATTGAAAAACTAATCTGTTCAATCAGTGTATACAAAACTATGTAGTAGGCAGAATAATGGCCCCTCCAAAATGTTCATACTCTAACCTTCAGAACCCGTGAAGATGTTAAATTACATAGCAAGGAGAATTAAGGTTGCAGATGGAATTACGGTTGCTAATCAGTAGACCTTGAGATGGGGAGATTATCCTGGATTATCCAAGTGGGCCCAGTATAATCCCAAGGGTTCTTGTAAGTAAAAAGAGGGAGGCAGAAGATGAAGTGTGTCACAGTGAATTAATCGCTTTCACTTTTGTGTCACCACTCTATCTAGTACTTATCTATTTAACATTTATCACAATGTGTTGCAATAATTTAGCCTGCGCTCAGGACATTCATTGTACCAAGTTTTGTTCTTCCTTAAAGGCAGTTTTGGCTTCCTGAATCAACGATTTCTTATCTTCTGCTGCCTCCTGACCACACGATTGCTGTGATTACAGGTTTGGACTCTCTGAACAGTCTTCCTTTTGCTCTTTTGCTTTAGGCATTTCATACTGGAAGCCTGCTGGGCAAGCCTGCCGTGCTTGTCTCACACGTTGTGCAGTTAGGTGGAAAGGGCTGGCCCTGCAATCTCTCATTAATGAGCTAAGAAGGCAGAGGAATCAGGCCACCAGTATAGTGTTGAGCTTATACTACCACTTGGATTTTCCAGGTTGCTTGGGAATTTGTAGGGAGCTTGCCGAACTAATAAAGTAGTGCTTCATTTTCCGTTTGGCTGTTATTCTTCATATTCCTCATTCCACTTCCTCATTTGATAGTGAGTGGGATAAATATTAGGATTTGAGACCCAATCTCCTCAATCTGTAAAATATATTCCAAATTCATAAATAAATACTAATGTACAAATTCCTCTTTTCTTCATAAACAAGCAGGGAGGGGGTGTCAGAGGATCTCAAAAGATGCAGTCAAAGAACTCAACACTTTCACCTTGGCCTCAAACAATGAAATAGATGGACACCAAAGGAGTATAAGACAAATTCTCTGACTATATGAAAACATCCTATTAACGAGAGATGTAGTAATCACCTAATAAAAATATCTGTTGGTCATTTGATTGCACTGTGATTAGGACAAAGATAATTACATACAATATAACAATTAGAAAAAGTGTAAGAGAGTCTATAAGCAGAAATTCCACAATCTACATACTATGCTTAACCAACAAACCTCACACAGTACTTTGATGATAATAAAATTTCTTCAGTCCTTTTCAATTCAATGCCAGTCTCTTAAAATTGAACAATAACTGCATTTCATGATTTTCTAATTCCATCTAATTTACTATACCCAGCTTTTATAGCCTACAAAATATAAACCTTTTTTATGTACCTTTTTTAGTTGTCTAATTTCTCCAACACGAATTCTTAAGGAAAGCATGAATTGTAAATTCAGTATGGATCCAGAAAGAGCACCCCATTGTTCAGGCTCTTCTTCTACCCGGAATGTCTTCTTTTGTGCAAATTCTGCCCATCATTCCAGGCCCCCCTCTATGAAGCATCCCTGAACAATTTGGTCCTTGTTAATTTCCCCAGTAACTACAACTATTGCACTTACAAGGTTTACAAGATAACATAGCACTTAGTAGGGACTGTTGTGAAGTCATCATTCAGTGTTCAAGCCTAAAACTTCTAGGTTTTAGGTTATAGATGTGAGAGAAGTAATTTACTAATGGCATTTAAAGAAAAAATGTTTCCTCCTTGATAGCTGATACAGATTTCAATATTAAGTTATACTATCTCATTTAATTCTCACAGTAATATACACAATTCTAACTTCATTTTTTAATGTGAAAAGTGTTTAATGTCATACAGCCAGGAAATTGCAAAGTTAGTGTTCAAATTCAAAGCCCCAGCTCCTTCTCCTCCCCACTGTGGATTCTCAGGAACTTGCTCAGACTCACTGAGATAGGAAGTGAAAGTAGCTGAACTCATACCCAAGCTTTCTGCCTTTCCAGGGCATATTCCACAGCTATAAATTTGTGTAATATAAGGACAATATTCTGTTTACTATCTTGTTCTTTCGGGGGTGGAGGAAGCATGACATGCTTTTTTAACATGGGATTTTAACATGTCTTTTCTACATGCATATGCAATTTGAAATAAGTACCTGTCATGTGTTTTAAGTATTGTGTTTTCTTATTTTTCTCTTTGCTTGACTGCCCTGTCCCCATGTGTTTATTTCTATCTCTCATCCCTACTCACACCCTCAACCAGGAGATTCATTTTAACAAGCATGTATATTATTCTTCCATATTTTTCTTCCTGTTCACATCATTATATTGAAACCATTAATATAAGATCACATTATAAAAACATCTCTGTTGCTTTTCTTACTTAGTAAATTAACAGATATAGCTCATTAATTCCTTTTAGTGGCTGAATAATATTCCGTATTGAGGATAAGCCATAAATTGTGCACTGGTATACAATCTGGATTAACACAATAATATATAAGAAGACTTCAGTGCCTTTCAGAAATAATGTTTTCTATGCCATATGGCTTGGTCTTGTTATTGAAAATACCAAATGTTAACAGTAAATTTTTTTTTTTTATAATGGATGTGGTCCCATGTGGATAAGCCAAAACACCATAACCCCTTCATTGATGTAAAGGTGGCTTGTTATTTCTTGTATTTAGTGAAAACCATTCCATGGATTTGAGATCCACAAAGCTACCTGAGCATTTTTATTTAAGTGAAAAGGATTTGAATTATTTACTCTAGATTGATGGCTTGAGCAAGCATTAAGAATAGTAGGCAATCTGAAAGTACAGAACATTTTAGTTGGTATTTCATTCAGATGTTACACATCATAGGTTTGTGTGATAGTTATGATTAATATAAAATGAGAGGGTTAATTTAGCTGCAACAGATCTCTTCCAGTGCCGATGTACTATGTTTCTAATTCCAACCCCCCATTTTGAGACATTGTAAATAATACAATCTATAAAGTATATTACAATTTTATGCACTCAAAAATAAGGGAAAATATAATAGGTTTCTTTCAAAATTGTCCTTAAGAAATGTTGTTTCATTTCCTATTGGGCTGCAATTTGCCATATATCAGCATCTAAGGGCCAGGCTACTCAACCAGAAAATGATTATTTTCTTCCTTTTTCTGAATGTATCGGAAGAGAATCTAAAAGAACTTTCAGTATGCAGGGGGGTTAATTATCCTGGCAGTCAGTTTAGCTTTGGAAGTTTTAGGTGATAAGAACAGCCTAAAAAAGACTCCCCGCTACTGTCGCCTGCTGTGAAGAAACAACCATGTGTTGCCACCGCTGCAAATATTGTTCAAATTACCCTAAAACCACCCTGCTTTTCTGTGCCTCCTGACTCCTGGAGAGCAGCACTGTGCCAGTGAGGTCATTTATTCTGTCACTTCTGCCTACTCGGCAATCATGACAACTACATCTTTCTCTCAGTGTAATGCAGGAGGCTTTTCTGCAAGACCTTACATGACCTGAGTGAGGAAAGTAATTATTCAAAACAACATCTCTTCTTGTTCCTCAAGTGCCACCAACTCCTCTGCAGAACCACCCAAATGCTCCCCAATTTGATCATCCCACTCAGATCAATTTCTCAGATTCTCCTAGAGGAATGTGTAAACAATCACCTCTCACTTCTTACAACCTTACTTTCAGAGAAGCCGTGCAGCATTGTGGATACAAGCTCAGACTGAAGTCAGACTGCTGGGGCCAGAATTGTGTTTCTACTATGTGAGTGTTTAGTTATGCCATCTTGAGCAAGTTACATCCCTGTGTCCCAGCTTCTCATCTATGAAATAGAGATAACAACAGTACCTACCTCATAAAGTTGTGAGAATTAAATTACTTAATATATGGAAGATAATACAATTCATAGCATATATAAAGGGGTATCTAAGTATTAGCTGTTATTGTTATAACCTGGATGAACAACTATTGTACACCTACCAGGTACCACTGACTGTTCTAGGTGTGTGGTGGAATTCACTAGTAAAAATCAAACAAACTAATAAAAAATAAACATAAATTTCTTGTGCAAGGTGAAGATTCCTACATTCTTGATTTATCAGCTAGTTATTTCTGAAACAAGCAAGGAAACAGTCAAAACAAAAAGAGTCAAAAATAAAGTCAAATAGTAGGTTTACTTTCTCTGTTTTCTATCACCTTCCAATCTACTTACTCCAACCCCCATCCCACCCCCACCAAAAACATGTAACTTCAAATTTTATTGCCATTCCTTGTGGAGGTGGTAGTATGCCAGAGATAACTTTAAATGTTCAACATTGTCGACATATTCTTTGGAGTGGGGTTGCAGTCCAGGACCACACTGCTGTATACACAAAAAAACCCTGCCCACTGCAGGGGCCAATGTCTTTCAATGTGATTAAAACTAAAGTAATTTTCTTGTATCAAAGTCACATCAATATATTTTTATATAAATCTAAATGCTATTAGCATTTCTATGAACTTGCATAATATTGTCTCTTCATTAAGCAGTGCATATAAAGAATGAAATTTTGGTATTCTCAGTTTTCCATGTATTCCCATAAATGAGGGTGAAATTTACACTGGCCTTATTTGGGTAATTCATATTCTTTTTTCAGGACATTCTTTAGTCATTTCATTTGCTTTTTTTTTTTTTTTTTTTTTGTCTTTTTTCGTGTCTGGCAACGGATCGCAACCCTCAGTGTCACACCCGTACCAGACCGGGACTGGCAACGGGATCGCAACCCTCGGTGTTCGCCGCACCTCGCTCAGCCAGTGAGCGGGAACCGGTCTGTATATGGGATCCGAA